TGTACTTTATGTGATGAGGTTTATTAAAGACAGAAAAGTTCGGTATGCTTATCTTTTTACATAGTGGATCAATAACACCTATGTATTTATGATACTTTCACTCGAAAGTGCTTTTCTAAGTTTTTATGCCAACTTTTTGAAATAGTAATTGGAAAAACAGTTTGTAATAAACATACTTTATGGGATTGATGGTTTCCAGACTACAGTTTAAAATGTTGATTGATTATACTAGAAATAAAATAGAAAGTGGATACTATTAATCTTGATATTTACTGTATCACATATAACGATTATTTCTTATTATCACCATAGAGCGAAAATTCGAAACGATTTGATGCAATTTTTAATTCTAATGCATATGACAGAAAATGTAGTTGAAGCAATTACATAGATAATTATCTCACAGTGAATTATTCATAAGTAAAACAACACGTGTCATAGATTTTTTGAAGCACACCATATGACGTAAGCGACTATTGAGGAAATTTATGGCGTTAAAAGACAACAACAACACGGTAATTAATGATATACAGTTATACTTTGAACACAAATTCATCATTGGTACATAAACTTTGTGGATTAAACTTCAAATTGAGTTTTCTTTATACTAGGATGAACTGTGTTCATAACAGCTTACATAACGATTTGTAATTAAATGGCATTCAGACATGAACAACAACAACAAGTTACTTAATGACGAATTCAGGTTAGTTTTAAAATAAAAATGCATTTGACGAAGCGAAGATTTAAGTGTATGGCATTACCAATTTCGTTACATCCTTAATGTATATAGATATAAGTATTGTGGAAAGATAATAGTGTGAATATAGCACGCAGCATAAATGATATGATTAGTTCCACATAAACACTGAAACTTCGTATCCGTACAGATATATACATATCGCATAGCATAACTGGTGTCATCATGCTCCAATTCAAATTGTAGGAAGCATGTGTTATTGTAGAATCTTATTTTACGTTGTTCACTTTCGATCGTGTTTGTATATATATATATACATATTTGCATTGAAGAGAAAACTTAGTTCACCATAAACATTTTTTTTGGAAAAATATGTATTATTTATTGGTTGAATACCAAATGTTTATATAAAGATTTTGATTGAAAGTAAAAATACATGTAGTACACCCAGTTACCAACAAGATGAAGAAAAGTAAGAACATTCTATTTGGTATATTTCGTGTTTATGTGTCTTTGTTTGTTATTCTCGTTTTAGTGTGAATATTTCAATGAAATATAGAACTCAATGGACAGTAAAAGTGGTTCTAGCTGAGTACATTTTATTACCATTCACTCAGGGAACTAGTGAATCTTACTTAAGCCCCAGGCATACTCTAAACTTTAAAACACGCTTATTGTTATAAAGTGCCTCGCGATTCACCCCCCCTCCCTGCAAAGCTTGTAATCGTGAAACTCTCAAATGATACTTTATATTTAGAATTTACACAGTCTACTCCAAGCTAAAAAAAGTTGATATTATTTAAGTAAGTTGGATTTTCAACTAAATTAGAATATGGCAGCCATAAGTCAGTTCAAGTGCAAAAGATTAGTTTGAAAGGTCACAAAATTAATGTAATTGTCTCAGTTTGTGTGTAATTAAAGTGGTGTAACATGACTTCAGAAAAAATGCAGCTGTTGAAGCCAACGCTCACATA